GGAGGTCTCCGGGCATGAACCGGATCCTTCCCATGTGGAGTGCCTCGTGGTGTGTGTGTTACCATTACCTGGTGAGTTTTCATCACTAGTGAATCACTAGTGGAGTCCATGTTGCTGGGTACTGAATATTTTTGTGTTTTAGAAAATGTTTTTGAGGGACCAGCAGGTAGCATGGTAGTTAAGGCCCAGGACTCCCACCTGGCCCACCGCTGTTTGCGTCCTGGACTTGGTGGCTTGAAAAATCACACAAGGCACATGCATGCACATGCCCCAAATCCCAGGAGAGCGGAGAAGAGAATGTAGCGTGGCCATTCTGCCCGGGAGGTGATTTCTATCTTTCCCTCTCACTGTCTCTGTCTCTGGTGAGCACATGCGCCCTATGCAAAAACCTTAAAACAACATTTTTGAGCTTTGTTTTGGGACACAGTCAAGTTCTGTTTAGAGCTTTTATAACAACTCATTTTGTCCCCTGTCTAAATGCCCCTGACTGCTTAACCCAGCTCCGTGCAGTAGAGAGGCTTTTCTCCCCCCGGCTTGGGCGCACGCAGGCCACCCGGCCCTGAGTGAGCACTGGCTTTTCTCCCCCTGGCTTGGGGAGCAGGAGTGACGTGCAGCCCCCGAGTGCATTCTGGGGATTGTCTGACCCTCTCCTGGGCAGCTCCTGCTGGGCCGTGGCCAGGCTCCTCCCCCGTACTAGGCCGCTCTCGGCACACCTCTGCGTGGGTGCTCTCTTCATACTCCTCTGTTCCCTGAGCGCCCCGTCTCCCTTATTTGGGGTCTGCCCTCCTGCTCTGGCCCTCAAAGAGGAGGCTGCAGCAGTCGCAGGGCTGCGGCGTCGCTCTCCCTCCCTCTGGGGGTCGCTGCGCTGAGATCCCGGCCTCCGAGGTCGGCTGTGTGTCACCCACTCTGCACACACGTAAGGTGAGAGGAGATCCGGGTCCTGCCCCTCCGTCTGGGCTGGAAGCGCACTGTGGGGGGAGCGGGCGTCTCCCCGTGTGTTCAGTAGTCAGATGTTCCCATTTCTACTTCGGACCCTTTGGTACGTTTATAGACTTGTGGAGACTTTGTCTCTGGGACCCAGGCATGTTTCAGTCAGCGTCTCCTGAAAGTAGCTGTCGTTTGGCATAAAAGGAGAGGGAGACCGTTCTTTAAAACTGTGACGACCCTGGGACCCGCAGATGGTGAAATGGTTACATTGCTGGACTCCCACATAGTAGACTGCGGTTCGAGTCTTGGACCCGGAGGCTTGAAACTCATACCAGGCACACGTGTGTGTGCATGTCCAAGATCCCGAGGGGAGAACGGAGGAGAAGGCCACCCCTCCTGGGAGACTATTTCTTGCTTTCTGTTTTTCTGTCTCTCTCTCTCTCTGGCAAATACACATACCGTGTAGCAAAAATATCTCTCTCTCAAAAAAATGAACAACTCTGGGACCAGCAGTTAGCGTAATGGCTGTGTCGTTGGACTCTCATGTAGTTGACCACGGTTCGTGTCCCGGACCTGGTGGCTTAAAACTCACGCCGGGCACGTGTGCATGCGTGCCCAAGATCCCGAGAGGAGAATGGAGGAGAAGGGATTGCGATGTGGCCATCCCCCCCTGGGGGGTGATTTCTCGCTTTCCGTCTCTCTGTCTCTCTCTGTCTGTCTGGTGAGTGCACGTGCCCTATAGCAAAACCTCTCCAAAAAAACGAACAACTCTGACGGTGCCGTTTGAGTAAAGCAAAGCATCTGTCTGTGGTCTCCGCTCACCTCCAGCCCTGGCCTGCTCGATGTGTCCCACGCGTGGCCTCCAGAGTGACTCCTACACATGGACCTCGAGCTCACCCTGGTACATGATGCCCCAGCAGGCCCTTCCTGGCCGGGCCCTTGCTTCTACAGCCGCCTCTTCTTGCCTCTCCACACGCAGAGCCCGGCTCCCCTGCCCACTCGCCTCCCCCAGCCATGCAGCACTCTCCCTGCACTTCTGGGTTGGGGGTATCCCTTTGTCTTTATGGCTTCTTGTGCTTTTTTTTTTTAAAGACTTTTTGCCATAGGGCATATGCGCTCACCAGTGAGAGACAAGAGACAGAGAGAGGAAAAGTGACAAATCAGCCCCCAGGGGAGATGGCCGTGCCACGCCATACCACACACACTGCAGCCCCTTCTCTGAGGATTTGGGTACACCTGCATATGCGCCCTGTAGGTGTGGAATTTGAGCCACCACATTGGCAGGTGGGAGCCCAGCGCCTTCAGTCTCCTCTTGTGCTTTTGTCTTTAGCATTTAATGGCTGTATTGCAATTTATTTCTCCCTCCCTCCCTTCCTGTGCCAGGTGCTTTGGGTACATGATTGTGTTTAATTAGCGCACTGGGAACAGGTCATTGTTCAGATGTTGTTTTGGTGAATCTACTGATAGGGAAGGAGAAGGCGGATTATTACGTTAAGAGAGTGTTTCATTTAAGCTGCATTTGAACGTGAACAAATCACCCTCTCTGAAGATGTCTATTTCGAAATCGCATCGTGAGATGTAGCTGTTATAATACCCACGGGACAGATGAGAGACAGCCTCAGAACGGCTTTACAGCGAGCCTGAGGTCCCTGGAGCTCAGTGTAGGAGCGAGTCCGTGCACTGAAGTGTGGGCATGCTCCCTCGCCCTGCCTGCGGACAGGGCAGGGGCTCGGGCCCGCAAGGGGCTCAGTGTGTCTGCTCGTGCACTGTTTTATAAAACTGGGCACTAGGGCCTGCTCGGGGCCGAGGTCAAAGGAGAGGTCAGCACCTGCCCTTTGCTTTTCACCTTTCATCTGGAAGGACACCAGTCTGGGCCACTGGGCTGCAGGGTGGGGCGGGGGCCCAGTGTCATGGGGGACGTCTGTATCCCACGCTCACACTTGCACGGTAGCGACAGTGCACTGGGAACAAGGGGACGTTGAGAAGTTGTGCGAATGCAGAGTCGGAACGAGGAGGCGGTGCTAATTCCCCTTCTAGAAGTAAGCCCTGGAAGGGTAAGACAGGATGAGTGCTCGTTTCCTCAGAAATGAACATGGGGCAGGCCAGAAGGTGGCGTGGTGGTGAAAGCACTGGATTCCTACATGGCCTGCCATGGTTCGAGTCCTGAACCCGATGGCTTGAAAACCAAAATAAACAAACAAACAAAAATTTTTAGAGTGAGTTTTGCTATAGGGCACGTGTGCTCACCGAAGAGATACAGAGAGACAGAAAGCAAAAAAGTCACTCCCCAGGGAGGATGGCCATGCCACCATCCCTTCTCCTCCATTCTCCTCTCGGGATTTTGGGCATGCACGCACATGCACCCGGCATGAGTTTAAGCTACTGGGTCGGGACTCGAACTGCAGTCAATTAAGTGGGAGTCCAGCAATATAACCATTACTCCATCTGCTGGTCCCAAATAAATGTTTTATAAAAGAAAACTTTAAAAAGAGAGAGAGAGAGAGAAGTGAACGTGGGAATGAATGAATCGAAGCACTTCATAGCTCTGGTCTTTGTGAAATTGCCATGTCCGGGTCTCGCTGTCAGACGGTCCTTGTTCAACACGTATTTCATGCTGGTTCTCATCGTCCTGCTCCCACGTTTTCTGAGCCTTGGACTGTGGGTAGGTGTGTTAGTTTCTATCGGATCTGTCGTGCTTCTGGTCAGCATTACTGCTTATCAGTTTGAGCAAGGGAATTTTGCTTCTTGTCAATTGCTTGATTCCTCGTCTACGTATTTTTTTTTCAAGAATTATTTTATTTAACTTTATTTATCTATTTATTTATTCATTTGTTTCAATTCGACCAGAAAGGGACAGAGTGAGAGAGAGAGAGAGAGTGAGAGAGAGAGAGAAAGTGAGAAAGCAAGCTGCCAGATCCGGGATTTGAACCATGGTTGGCCATGTGGGAATCCAGCACCTTTAACCACCATGCCACCTGCTGGCCCCTACGTATGTTCTGATATGCACCCTGTATTTATTTTAAATGGGGTTCATAATAGCAATGGTCTATTTCTTACGTATTCAATTCTTTTATATTCTTTAGGACAAAGAAAGGCATTACTTAGCTTTTCTATTTAGGTTGGAATTTCTGAATCTCTAACTCATGCCTGGACTAGAGGTCTCTACCCTAAGTAAGTTGTAGAGACTAGAACTAGAAACAGTCTTTAAATGGCATTTCGGGGCCAGCAGGTAGCGTGGTGGTTAAGGTACTGGATCCCACGTGGCCAACCACTCACGGTTTGAGTTCTGGACCCAACCCCGGACGCATGCCACCGTCCTGAGAGGATGGAGGAGGAGGGATGGGGCGTGGCCGTCTGCCCTGGAGTTTGATTCTTACTTCCCCCCTCTGTCTCCTTCAAGTACACACACCCTGTGGCAGAAACCTAAAACAGCACAAAACAAAACAAAGGTATTGTTTTACTTATTTCTTTCACAAGCAATCAAGAAAGAGAATTAGAGCCCCAGTGGGTCTTCACACCACAGTTCACCCAGCCTCAGCTGGCCGGGGGTCACAGGAGGTTCCCCAGACCCCGTCCCCGTGGCTCAGCCTGCAGAGCCGTTGTACCCAGAGAGTGGCATCGGTGGTGCCGTGGCGTGGGAGACACTGGACGAGAACAAGCTCTCTGAGGGTGGAGAGGCCAGGTGCTAAAGCCTCCTACACGCCAGTCGTATGTGGGCTATCGTGTGACCTGCCTCGGGGCTGCGCTCTCTTCCTGTGTGTGTGCACACGTGTACATGCTTATACACGCGTGCACAGGCGTGCATTTCTCAAAAGGGTCTTTTTCTAGCTAATGCAGAACGGAGGTTGTACTTTAAGTCTTTGTCAGTTAATTCACGTGAGGGGCAGAGCGGGGCTGTCTTTAGCGGTAGGCGGTCACCCCTCTTCCCCGCGGAGCTCCGCCGTTCCTTTATCTCCGTGTAAAGAGCAAGCTGTCTCGATCTTTCAACACAGAGCGGCATATTCCGTTTGCGCGTGGAATGCGCTGAGCCGCACCGTGATATGCCGTAATCCTCGGTCTGCTTTCACCCCAAGGAGCGGAAGGATGAGATCGCCGCCCTGGAGACCATCAACAACGGCAAGTCCGTCTTCGAGGCGCGCCTGGACATCGACACATCCTGGCAGTGCCTGGAGTACTACGCGGGCCTGGCCGGCTCCATGGCGGGTGAGCCTGTCTGGCCATCCGGCCTGCTGAGGAGGCTGCAGGGCCCAGTGGTGACGGGAAGGGTTTAGGAGTTAGGACAGGCCTGGTTCAAATCCTGGGCTCATCACCCCTACCTGGGTGGTCTAGGAGCTCTTTTATCTAAAGCAGAGATGATTGCTCCCCCTTGCCGGGTGGGGTAAGGAGGGGACGAGGATGCCGGCAGTGCTGCTGGCATGGACCCGAGCTGCAGACCAGAGGGCTGAAAACCGTTCTCGCAGGAATCAGCCCGTCACGGGAAGGGACCTCAGCAGGTTCGTGGAAAGTGGACTTAAATTTTTTTGAAATCTATATACAGTTGGGAACCAGCAGTTAATGTAATGACTATGTCGCTGGACTCCCACGTAGTCGACTGCGGTTCGCGTCCCGGACCCGGTGGCTTAAAACTCACGCCGGGCACGTGTGCGTGCATGCCCAAGATCCCAGGAGGAGAATGGAGGAGAAGGGATTGCAGCGTGACCATCCCCCCTGGGGGATGATTTCTCGCTTTCTGTCTCTATGTCTCTCTCTCTGTCAAGCGCACGCGCCCTATAGCAAAAACCTTTCAAAAGAAAAAGAAACAAAAATCTATGTACAGTTGTTTGTTTATTTATTTTTCATTTTAGTTTACCACAGGACATGTGTGATCGCTGGAGAGAGACACAGAGAGAGGGAAAGTGAGAAACCCCCCGCCCCCAGGAGAATGGTCATACTGCAGTGCAATCCCTTCTCCATTCTTCCCTCGGGATGTTGGGCACACACGCACATGCACCCAGCGTGTTTGCAAGCTGCTGGATCCAGGACTTGAACTGTGCAGTGTGCCATGTAGGATCGAGTGCCTAAACTACTACTGCACCAGTTTGCCCCGTAATCTTTTTTATAGTATGTTTTCCCATACATTTTTTGAAGGCCCCTGATTTACTAGTATTACCTATTTAGCGAGAAATTCCCTGCTGATTGTATTATAAAGTTCAGTCCAATTTGAGTTGGGTGGTCGTAGGGCCCAGGAGGGCCCTGGTGAGCTGGGGGTCTGAGCTTCTGGGGTCCGTGACCTCTGCTGCTGTGGAGACCTCCTCCCACCTGTGTGTCAGTTACAGAACAGGGAGGCTGGAACGGCCAGAGAACGGCAGAGCGGGCAGTGCTGGACCGGCAGGTGGCTGGGGGGAGGGGGCGGTGGGAGCTGGGAGCGGGGGGCTGGCTGGGTCCGGGAGGCAGACTTGTTTCCCTTTGGTCCCCCCGTCTCCCCAGGTGAACACATTCAGCTCCCAGGTGGATCCTTTGGTTACACCAGAAGAGAACCCCTGGGGGTGTGCGTGGGCATTGGCGCCTGGAACTACCCCTTTCAGATCGCCTCCTGGAAGTCGGCCCCAGCGTTGGCTTGTGGTAAGAATGAGTCATTCCTCCCGGTGAGACCTGGGTCTGTCCCCTCACCTCTCTGCAGTCACGCTCTGCGAGTCAGAGGGGCCCGCTCTGGGCCAGCCAGGGCCTCGGAGGACACGGTTCCATGGCACTGCCTCACCCTCAGAGGGCTGGCTGGCCATCAGCGGCACAGACCGTGCAGGTAGCCCGTTTATACTGACCTCATGTAGCCGTATGTGTGGGAGGAGGAGTCGGCTGTCTTTTCCTGTGGGGCTGGACTAGATCGTTCTGCTTGTAAGTGTTCCCTCCTGGAGAGGAGCGTCCGTGTAGGAGGCAGCGCCTGGGAGCGGGCCTTCCTGGGGGCGCAGGTTGGCTCCCTTCTTCAAGGCTGCCCCAGAGAAACTTCGGCCAGTTGACATAAAAACAGTTTCCTGGAACCAGCAGATGGTGTAATGGTGTCAGTGCTGGACTCCCACATAGTTGACTGTGGTTTGAGTCCCGGACCCGGTGGTTTAAACACACCGGGCGCGTGTGCGTGCGTGCCCAGGATCCCGAGAGGAGAATAGAGGAGAAGGGATTGCAGCGTGGCCATCCCCTTTGGGGGGGGGGATGATTTCTTGCTTTCTGTCTCTCTCCCTCTAGCAAGAACACACGCCCTATAGCAGAAATCTCTCAAATAAGTTTTCTTATCTTATTTATTTACTTACTTATTTTGTCATAGGGCACATGTGCTCACCAGAGAGGAGAGAGTTGGTGACAGAGAGAAGGGAAGGGAGACATGACCCCCCGGGGAATGGCCATGCCACAGTCCTTTCTCCTCCCTTCTCTCAGTATTTTGGGCGTGCACATACAAAGCCTGGTGTGGTTTTTCAAACCACCTGGTCTGAAACTTAAACTGCAGTTGGCCATGTGGGGGTCCAGTGCAGTGCCTTAACCATCACGCCACCTGCTCGGCCCGCCTTGTCCTTCTTTTTCTTTTCTTTTTTTTTTTTTTTAAGAATTATTTATTGGGACCAGCAGATGGTGTAATGGTTATTTAACAGGATTCTCACATGGCTGACTGTGGTTCGAGTCCCAGACCCAGAGGCTTGAAACTCACACCAGGCGTGTGTGTGCGCACGCGCATGTGCGCGCTTGTGCCTGCTTGTGTGCCCAAGATTCCAAGAGGAGAATGGACGAGGGATTGCAGAGTGGCCATCCTCCCTGGGGGATTTCTCACTTTCTGTTGCTCCGTGCACCCTATAGTAAAAGTCTCTCTTAAAGAGAAGGAATTCTTTTTTAATTTGTTGTTATTATTTTTTAACTTACTATAGTCATCAGGGAGAGACAGAGGGAAAGTGAGAAAGCAAGCCATCAGGGTGCGAGACTCAAATCGCGGCTGGCCGTGTGCGGACCCAGCATCTTAACCACCATGCCAGCATGGTGGTTATTTATTTTGTTATTTATTTATATTTTTTCTTGGAAAGAGATTTTTGCTATAGGGCATGTGCACTTGCTGGAGAGACAGAGAGCAAGCGAGAAATCATGCCCCAGGGGATGGCCACGCCATAACCCCTCCTCCTCCCCCTCCATTCTCTTCTGAGTATTTTGGGCACATAGGCATGTGTACCGGCATACTTTTCAACCTCTGGGTCCAGGACTCAAACCTGCAGTCAGCCACGGGGAATCCAGCTGCCCGCAACCCATGCCTGCGTCACAGGCTGTCACACGTGTTGAGGCGGCCCGGACGAGCAGACGCCAGGCATTACCGTTTGAGACTGGGCCAGCGTGTGGTCTGAGACCTTTTAACGAGAAGAGCCCCTGAGAAGGGCAAGCCCTGTACTCCCCTCTGCCGGCTCTGGTCTGGGACCTGCTGGGGGAGCGGGCGATGCCGAAGCTCTCCTGAGCTGTCCCCTAGTCCTGGCCCGTGGATCGGCAGCCCCGTGTCTGTCCGTGTCGGGTCTGTGCAGGGAACGCCATGGTCTTCAAGCCGTCTCCCTTCACACCGGTCTCTGCGCTGCTGCTGGCCGAGATCTACACGGCGGCCGGAGTGCCTCCCGGGCTCTTCAACGTGGTGCAGGGCGGGGCCGCCACAGGCCAGTTTCTGTGTCAGCATCGCGACGTGGCCAAAGTCTCCTTCACCGGAAGCGTGTCCACTGGCTCGAAGGTGAGGTGTGCCCGTGTGGGGTAACGGGTGGCCCCTGGGTACAGCAGAGCCAGCCCTACCCAGAGCCTGTCTGGGAGCTTGGCTTCTGATGCTGCCCGGCTCGCACTGGGAAGGGGATGGAGGGCTTTACTAGGCGAAGGCCTGCAGTTCCTGTAGGAGATGCGAACACACTCAGGGTGGTTGGTGTGACGCCCCAGGGCTCTGGAGGGCCACTCCTGCCTGCAGAGGGACGCTCGAGTGAGCAGGGCTGGTTGCCACCTGCACTGCTGGTGACCTGGCTTTATGTATTCAGGAAGAGTGTGTACTCAGTGTAGTTCAGATTCATCTTTTTTTTAAAAAAAGATTTATTTGGAGCCAGCAGGTGGCATGGTGGTTAAGGAGCTCGACTCCCAACTGGCTGACCACAGTTTGAGTCCCAGACCTGGTGGCTAGCTTTCTCACTTTCTCTCTCTCTCTGTCTGTCTCTCTCTGGTCAAATTAAAATTAATGGATAAATACATAAAATTAAATAAACAATTCTTTAAAAATTAAACAAATAATTCTTTTAAAAATTATTTAATTTTATGTATTTATCCATTAATTTTAATTTGACCAGAGAGAGATGGAAACAGAGAAGAAAGAGAGAAGAAAAATGGAGAAAGCAAGCCAGCAGGTCCGGGACTTGAACCGTGGTCAGCCATGTGGGAGTGTCCAGTGCCTTAACCACCACGCCACCTACTGGTCCCCATCACTTTTTAATTGTATTCCTTGTTTAAATTTTTGCCATAGGATATTTGCACTCACCAGAAGGCGAGAGAGGGAAAGTGAGAATCAGCCCCAGAGGGATGGCCACTCCACAGTCCCTTCTCCTCCAGGGACTTTAAGCATGTACACACATGCACCCAGTGTGAATTTCAGGCTGCCAAAACCAGGACTTAAACTACCGTCAGCCAGGTGGGAGTCCAGAGACTTAACTACCATGCCACCTGCTGAGCCCCATGCATTATTTTGACCTTAATTTGTGTTCTGAGTGGTCAGCCTAGAACACAGTGAAAGTAATAAAAAAGAATTTCTGGCTGTATAAACATGTGTATCAGTGGTCTCTTGAACTGGCAATATTTTAAACTGAACTGCCGCTTCAGAACATTGGGCACAGGCCCCTGCCTTCTCTTCAGTTTTCTGGAAAAGGGTATTTTAAGTAGACCAAGGGCAAAGCATATTGACGAGAAGAGAAGGCAGTGCAGGCCACGCAGTTCTGTGACCCCCAGCGGTCGGGCGGCCGACAGTGGGGTGTGGTCTGTGCTGCGTCCTGAATGCTTCCTCCTTGTTCCGTCAGATCATGGAGATGTCGGCTCGAGGAATCAAACCGGTCACTTTGGAACTCGGAGGCAAATCCCCACTGATCATCTTCGCGGACTGCGATATGGAGAATGCCGTGAAGGGGGCGCTGATGGCCAACTTCCTCACGCAGGGCCAGGTGCGTGCCGTCCCGGGAGAGGCTCCACGACCTGCCACCTCACCTGACCGCACGCTGTAACTCGCGGCGCTGTGAGATACCTTCAGACATGCAGAAAGTTGCACATAGGCTACCGAGAATTTCCACATGCCCTTGAATAAGAGTCCTCAGATACTAACGTTTATTGTATCTATCATCCTCTTCATCTGTCTTCACACACGTGTGCATGGTAAATGACTTTTTCTCACTTGCCAGAGGGTGTGTGTGCTCACCAGAGACAGCCTGAAAGAGGGAGAGAGAGGAAGAGGGGGGATCCCCATGGGGAATGGTCACACTGCAGTTTCTGCTCCGTTTGGAGATTTCGGGCGCACACGCCCAGTTCGTTTTTCAAGCAGGGTCTGGGACGTGAACTATGCCATTGGCCATGTGGGATCTAGTTGCCTTAACCACCATGCCACGGTGGCCTTCCCATTTTGTTTAAACTCTTATTTATTTATTTATTTTTTAAGTTTTATTTACTTCTTTCATGAGGGAGAGAGAGAGGAAGACAGCACCCCCAATGGGTCTTGACACCATGATCACTCACGGCCTCAGCCCCGCACGGACCCCAGGCCTGCACCGGCCAGGAGTGCTGACGCGGGTCTCCAGGTGCAAACCGGGAACCTCCCTGAGTGTGTCAGCTTGCAGAGCACCGTGTTCTACTGCCATGTGACTGGCTCGCTCTGCCCTGTGCTCATTTTTAGTTAGGTTCATCCTTCTGTTTTGCTATTGAGTTGTGTGAGTCATGTATGTATTATAACCTTTTTTATGTGGTAAAATAGAACAGAATTTGCCATTTTCAAAAATGTTAAGTGTACAATTCAGGGGCATCAAGTGCTTTCACACTCCATCCCTCTCTGGGGCTTTTTCCTTTTTTGTGTTTCCTTCTTAGGTTTTTGCCATAGGGCTTGTACACTTGCCAGAGAAAGACAGAGGGAGAGTGAGAAATCACCTCCTGGGGGATGCCATGCCGCAGTCCCTTCTCCATTCTCCTCCTGGGCTTCTGGGCACGCGTGCACATGCGCCTGGTGTGAATGTCAGGCCTCCAGATCTAGAATTCGAGCCTCGTTCTGCCATGTGGGAGTCCGTACCCACTACACCACCTGCCGGCCCCGTCTCGGGAACTCTTTCATTGCCTCTCGCTGAAGCTCTGTGCCTGCTAATTCCCCACTCCTTCCTCCTTTCTGTCCCCGTGACCACTGTTCTACTTTCTCTCTCTGTGAGTTTGACTCATCTCCTCTAAGTGGAATCATACAATATTTATGATTTTACATCTGGCTTGTTTCACCTACGATGATATCTTTGAGGTTCATCCATGTCGTAGCATCTATCGGAATGTCTTCCTTTTTTTTTTTTTTTTTTGGAGAGGTTTTTGCTATAGGGTGTGTGTGCTCACCAGAGAGACAGAGAGACAGAAAGCGAGAAATCATCCCCAGGGGGGATGGTCACGCCGCAATCCCTTCTCCATTCTCCTCTCAGGATCTTGGGCACGCACGCACACGCACCTGGTGTGAGTTTAAGCCACTGGGTCTGGGACTCGAATTGCGGTCAACCACATGGGAGTCCAGTGACATAGCCATTATGCCAACTGCTAGTCCTTGTCTTCCTTTTTAAAGGCTAAATAATATCCCATTGTGTCTATGTATACATACACACACAGCTTTTTTTTTTTTTTCCTTTTAGGTTTTTGCCATAGGGCACGTGTGCTCACCCAAGAAAGACAGAGACAGTAATGCGGAAAGTGAGAAATCGACCCCCAGGAGGATGGCCTTACTGCAGTCCCTTCTCCTCCATTCTCCTCTCAGGATTTTGGGCATGCGCGTGCACACACACACACACACACACACACACACACACACACACAGCTTGAGTTTAAAGCCACTGGGCCCAGGACTTGAATCGTGGTTGGCCACGTGGGATCCAGCGTCAAAACCACCACGCCACCTGCTGGCCCTGCGTTCACCCCCTTGAGGGGCCTAAATAGTGAGTGTGATCTCAGAGACGGTGAGTGAAATGGTCAGCTTTTTAATGAGTCATTTTTTATGAACAGCTGTTACAGTGCATTACATGAACGTAACGCGTAATGATCTTAAAAACGACTTGAGACTACAGTTCTGACTCTGTTTTTACTCTCTAGTTCACTCCTCTCGCGCCTCCCACTCCTAAAATGCTCAACCAGACTAAGCAGCTGACAGGGGGACGTGGGAGCGGTGTCGTGGGCTTTATGGATTCCTTAATGGCCTTAAGAAAATTGAAGTGGACAACGAAGAACTTTCTCTCCAAGGGTGGATTGTGCTTGTGGGGTGGCATGGTCTAGCTACACGTGGGACACTTCCTAGGCAGTTTGGTGACAGTTTTTAAAAATGGAAACATCCTTTATTTTATGTATTTATTCACTTTTTTAAGTTTTGATATAGGGCACATGTGCTTGCTGGGAAGAGAGAGAGAGAAAGCAAGCTATTGCCCCTAAGGGGACGGCTACGTGCAGTGCTTTCTCCTCCAGCCTCCTCTCAGGGTTTTGGGCATGCGTGCACACATGCCCACCATGATTTTCAAGCCTCTGGGTCTGGGACCCCGACCACACAGTCGGCCACGCAGGATCCAGCTGCCTTAACTCCCACGCCATCTGCTGGCTCCTGGAGGTGTCCCGTGAGAATGTGTAGTGCTGGGGCCGGCAGGTGGCATAGTGACTGAGGTACCGGACACTGTTTGTTGACCACGGTTCTGGCCTTGGACTGGAGGCTTGAAAGTCATGTCGGGCACATGCGCATGTGTGTCCAAAATCACAAGAGGAAAATGGAAGAGAAGGGATCATGGCATGGCCATCCCCCCAGGGGTGATTTCTCACTTCCCTCTTTCTCTTTCCGGGGAATGCATGCACTCAAACGTATGTGTTCTATGGCAGAATCCTTTCAGACAAACCGAGTAGTGCCTCTTGTCGTTGTCAGACTGTGAGATGAGCTTTTTTTCCTTTTGTCCTTCTTTCCCCTTACACACGTGTGAATTTATGTCTCCTCTCTGTCTTTAGGTTTGCTGTAATGGCACAAGGGTATTTGTGCAAAGGGAAATTCTTGATAAATTTACAGAGGAAGTGGTGAAACAGACCCAGAAGATAAAAATCGGAGATCCCCTTCTGGAAGACACGAGGATGGGCCCGCTCATCAACCGGCCACACCTGGAGCGAGTGCTCGGGTTCATTAAACTGGCAAAGGAGCAGGTGGGAGGCGGCGTGTGTGCGTGGTGTGTTTGTGTGTGTGGTGCGTCTGTGTGTGCATGGTCTGTGTGTGTGTGTGGTGTGTGTGTGGTATGTGTGTTTGTGGTGTGTGTGGTGTGTGTGTGGTATGTGTGTTTGTGGTGTATGTGGTGTGTGTTTGTGTTGTGTGTATGTTGTGTGTGTGTGGAGTGTGTGTGGGCGTATGTGTGTGGTGTGAGTGTGTTTGTGGTGTATATGTGGGGTGTGCATGGGGGTATGTGTGTGTTGTGTGTGTGGGTGTGTGTGTGGGAGTATGCGTGTAGTGTGTGGTGTGTGTGGGGGTGTGTGTGGCTAGCTCGCTCTGGAGGACTGGCTCTGCTCTTCTCAGATCCGTCTGGCTTGTGTGTGTGTGGGGTGTGTGTGTGGGTAGTGTGTGTAGTGTGTGGTATGTGTGGAGGGGGTGGCTAACTCACTTTGGAGGACTGGCTCTGCTCTTCTCAGATCCTTCTGGCTCGTGTGTTGTGTGTGTGTGTTGTGTGTGGGGGGATGTGCGTGTAGTGTGTGGTGTGTGTGGGGGTGTGTGTGGCTAGCTCACTCTGGAGGACTGGCTCTGCTCTTCTCAGATCCTTCTGGCTCGTGTGTTGTGTGTGTGTGTTGTGTGTGGGGGGATGTGCGTGTAGTGTGTGGTGTGTGTGGGGGTGTGTGTGGCTAGCTCACTCTGGAGGACTGGCTCTGCTCTTCTCAGATCCCTCTGGCTCATGTGTGTGTGGGAGGTGTGTGTATGTGGGCGGCGTGCGTGTAGTGTGTGTGGTGTGTGTGGTGTGTGTGTGGGGTGTGGGGGTGTGCATGTAGTGTGTGGTGTGTATGTGGGGTGTGTGTGGCTAGCTTGCTCTGGAGGACTGGCTCTGCTCTTCTCAGATCTGTTTGGCTTGTTTGTGTGTGGGGTGTGTGGGGGGGTTGTGTGTGTAGTGTGTAGTGTGTGTGTGTGTGGGGGGGTGGGGGGGGGGGGCTCGCTCCGCACGGGTCAGATCCCTCTGGCTCATGTGTGTGTGGGAGGTGTGTGTGTGTGGGCGGTGTGCGTGTGTGGTGTGTGTGTGGGGTGTGGGGGTGTGCATGTAGTGTGTGGTGTGTGTGTGGGGGTGTGTGTGGCTAGCTCACTCTGGAGGACTGGCTCTGCTCTTCTCAGATCTGTCTGGCTTGTTTGTGTGTGGGGTGTGGGGGGGTTGTGTGTGTAGTGTGTAGTGTGTGTGTGTGTTGGGGTGTGTGTGTGGCTAGCTCGCTCTGGAGGACTGGCTCTGCTCTTCTCAGATCCCTCTGGCTCTTGGTGTCCCAGCAATGTGCCTCGTGCTGCGGTGGGAGGCTGGGTGTGTGTTTACTCAGGGTGCACTTAGCATTTCAGGGACGGATATCGGGGGTGTGTGCTCCGTGCCAAGCCTGTGTTCTTCCTGGCAGGGCGCGAAAGTGCTATGCGGTGGAGATACGTACACACCCGAAGACCCCAAGTTAAAGGCTGGATATTACATGAGACCCTGTGTGTTAAGTATGTCCTCTTCCTTTCGCTATTTTTAAAACATTACTTACTATTATTCTTTTTTAAATTCGACCAGAGAGAGACAGAGAGAGGGAAGGTGAAAAAGCAAGCCCCAAGGTCTGGGACTTGAACCACAGTCAGCCATGTGGGAGTCCAGTGCCCCAACCACCACGCCACCTGCAAGCCCCTCCTTTTGCTTTTAAGTGGTTTGAATGAAATATCCAGTAGAGAGAAGAGAGGATTTGTGAACTAGGAATCTGGTGGAAGGCAATGACTGGTGAACCAGGGTGGCAGCTCCCGGGACCTCGGAGGCTCCTGGTACCCTCCACCAGGACAGCCACATGCGTTAGTGACCCTAACAACACCTGTCTTCCTGGAAGCAGGGGGCTCAAAGATGGAGATGCACAGTTGATAAAAGCTAAGTAGTGGGGCCCGCAGTGATGTGGCGACTGGGGTGCTGGATTCCCACATGGCTGACTGCGGTTTTAGTCCTGGACCCAGCAGGTTGAAAATCACACCTGGCACGTTTGCATGCATGTACGAAATTCTGAGAGGAGAGTGAGAAGGGATTGCAGAGTGGCCATCCTCCCGGGAGGCGATTTCTCACTTTCCCTCTCACAGGTCCTATTACAAAAAGCAAAAAAAAAGTAGATGAAGGTCAATTGTGTATAATTCCCTAGACCTTATCTTGAAGATAACGAACTTGATTTTCGCCCCTAAGATCAATAGTGGTGTCGGATGTCAGCACCTGCTATTTGATGCACTTTAACCTTTAACCTTTGTTAGAGAAAGATGACTGGCGTGGCAGAGCTGTGAGCCTGATAACATCCATGCTGTGGATTCGCTTGCAGTTATTCAATGGATATTTAACGGACAGGAAAACTCACACAATATATTGTTAAGTAAAAATGCAGGTGCTGGAACCAGCAGTTGGCGTAATGGCTATGTTGCTGGACTCCCATGTAGTCGACCACGGTTCGCGTCCCAGACCCGGTGGCTTAAAACTCACGCTGGACGCTTGTGCGTGCGTGTCCAAGATCTTGAGAGGAGAATGGAGGAGAAGGGATTGCAGCATGGCCATCCCCCTGGGGGGTGATTTCTCACTTTCTGTCTCTCTGTCTCTCTCTGCCTTTCTGGCAAGCGCATGCGCCCTATAGCAAAAACCTCTCCATAAAAAAAAAAAAAAAAAGAAAGAAAGAAAATGCGGGTGCTCCAGGAGTCTGACCAGGTATGTGCGTGGGAAAGGGGTGGGACACTCTTGGTGATGCCAGTCGTGGTCTCTCCGGGTGCCGGCACTGATGGCGGCTGTTACTACACTTGTGCATTTCCAAATAGTACAGATTTTCTACAGAGAACATGTTTGTTTTGGTTTTGCTTTGGGCGTGTGTGTACACCAGAGAGGGAGAAGAGAGTGAGAAACCACCCCCAGGAGGGATGTCTATGCAGCAGTCCCTTCTCCAGTCTCCCTCAGCATTGTGCGCATGGACACACATGCACCGGTTTGCAAGCTGCCAGGTCTGGGACTCAAACCGCACAGCCGGTCCTGTGCCTTAGCCTCCGTGCCCCTGCCGGCCTGTTTCTTTGTTTAATTTGCTGTAGGGCTCGTGTCCTCACTGGAGAGAGACAGAAAGGGAGAGAGAAGGAAGGTGAGAAAGCAGCCCCGTGGGGGCACGGTCTCGCCTCCAGTTCTCCCTCTGGGGATTTTGGGCGTGTGCGTGCATGTGCCCGGCATGTTTCTCAAGCTGCCGGGCCCAGGATTCGAGCTGCACCTTCTGCCGTGTGGGGTCTGGCTGCCTTAACCACCGGGCCATGATCTGTCCCCATTGTTTCTAACTAATCTTACCACAGCGTTATTAAGGAAATGTGGGAAACTGAGGAGAATAACAATTACACATGTGACACTTGGACAGGAATTGGGACGGTACCATGCCCACCTTGCTGTCATTTGTAGTGACATTTTATTACTCTTGAATTGCCGTAGGGTGTGTGTGTTCACTAGAGAGAGGAAGAGACGGGGGTGGGGGAGAGCACTCCGCATGGCCGCGGCCACTCCATAGTCCCCTCTTCTTTTCTATCCCACTGAACACGTGCCTGGCTTGTGTCTCAAGCCGCTGGGGCTGGGATTTGAACCAACATCAGCCAGGATCTGTGATCTGGGGCCAGCCCATGAACATATACTTAATATTTTTCTTCAAAAACATAACTTTCAGGGCCCAGCAGTTGACGTAATGGTTATGTCGCTGGACTCTCATGTAGTCGACTGAGGTTCGAGTCCTGAACCAGGTGGCTTAAACTCACGCCGGGCCTGTGTGCGCGCGTGCCCAAGATCTCAAGAGGAGAAGGGAGGAGAAGGGACTGCAGCATGGCCATCTCCCCTGGTGGGGGGGTGATTTCTCGCTTTCTGTCTCTCTGTCTCTGTCTTTTTGGTGAGTTCATGAGCCCTATAGCAAAAAAATCTCTCTCTCTCTCAAAAAAAATTATTTGTTTAACGTATCTATTTGCTGTGATTTTTAAGACACTGGGTCCAGGACTTGAACCACTGTCCCCCATGTAGGAATCTAGTGCCCCAAGAAGGAACGTTTCCAGTGGCAGGGGTAATGGCCCCTTCGCGGACACGTGGTTTATTACCCCTGTTGCAGCTAATTGCAGGGACGACATGACCTGTGTGAAAGAGGAGATCTTCGGGCCGGTTATGTCCATCCTGCCCTTCGACACGGAAGCCGAGGTCCTGGAAAGAGCCAACGACACCACCTTCGGACTGGCAGCCGGCATCTTTACCAGGTACGCAGGGCGGACCCCGTCACTGCAGGAGGGCTGGGGCTGCAGCGTGTGGGGTCCGTGACCCACCTGGCCTCCCTGGCGCCGTGGCCTTTCCTACGTGCTTCAGGTTGAGTAGAAGGTGCCGAGGCAGCAGGCAGTCGCGTTTACACTGAGCTGTGCACGAGCTGCCTGAAACCCCCATCCGTTCTCGCTCCTTCGCACACCAGGCCCAGGACTCAGAGCCCGTGAGCACGTGCGTGCTGGCAGGTTCTGCAGAGACAGGACGTCGGGGCAGTTAGTCCTTCCTGGCTGGACTGTGGTAACTCAGCCATTTTCTCCGTTGTTGGATGTTTAGGATGTGGTTTTCGGATTTAACTGCTATAAGTGATGCTGTTATTAACGTCTTTGTACATAAGTTGCGCTGGTAGATGGCGTGGTGGTTAAGGCACTGGACTCCCACATGGCCGACTGTGGTTCAAATCTTGGACCTGACAGTTTGCTTTCTCACTTTCCTTCTCTCTCTCTCGTCAGATTTAAAATGATAACGATAATGATAATAATAATAAACTAAGTAAATCCCTTTTCTTCCCCAGAGTGATTTTTGCTATAGGGCATGCACGCTCATTGGAAAGACAGAGAGACTAAAATTGAGAAATCACCCCCCCCGGGGGGGTGGCCAGAGCACAGTCCCTTCTCCATTCTTTTTTCAGAATTTAGGGTGTGCAGGGAACCAGCAGTTAGCGTAATGGCTATGTCGCTGGACTCCCACGTAGTCGACCGCGGTTCGTGTCCCGGACCCGGTGGCTTAAAACTCACGCCGGGCGCGTGTGCGTGCGTGCCCAAGATCCCGAGAGGAGAATGGAGGAGAAGGGATTGCGGCGTGACCATCCCCCCTGGGGGGTGATTTCTCGCTTTCTGTCTCTATGTCTCTCTGTCTGTCTGGTGAGCGCATGCGCCCTACAGTGAAAATCTCTCAAAAAAAAAAAAGAATTTAGGGTGTGCGCACACATGTGCCCAGCATGAGTTTTAAGCCACCAGGTCTGGGGCTCTAACTGGGGTCCACTATGTGGGAGTTCAGCAACATAACCGTTACGCCATCTGCTGGTCTCCCCGCAGTTTTAATTCTGACAAAGTTCAGTTCTCTTTTCCTATTCCTTTTCTTTTCTTTCTTTGTTTTTGTTTTTGTTTTCACGCTGTGGGTGCTGGGATTCGAACTGTGGTCAGCCTTGTGGGATCCAGCTCCTTCAACCGCTGAGTGACAAGGCTGGCTTTCTGTTTTCTCCTTTTGTCTGTCGTTCGGGTGTCATAGCTAACGAGGCTTTGTCTAACCCGAGGCCGTGAGGTTTGGCCCCGTGTTTTCTTGGAAGGGTTCATAACGGTCACTGACATTTTCGCTCTGTGGCCCGTGTGAGTGAGTTTCCCGCAGGTGTGAGGAGGAGACCCGCCTTAGCCTATGGCGTAGCTGCGTGGCCCTAGCGCTCATTCAACGGCCATTCCCCCTGAGTCGTGTTGGCGCCCTGTTGCCACCCATTTTAGGAATGCCTTTTGGATGAGACTGTGGAACCCGTCTGTGTCTGTCTTGCTTGAGTGACGAACAATTTTAAAACTTTTTATTTATTTATTTATTTTTTTTGAGAGGTTTTTGCTATAGGGCGTGTGCATTCGCCAGATAGACAGAGAGAGACAGAAAGACAGAAAGTGAGAAATCACCCCCCATGGGGGATGGCCACACCACAATCCCTTCTCCTCTAGTCTCCTCGCGGGATCTTGGGCACGCACGCACACGCGCCTGGCGTGAGTTTAAGCCACCAGGTCCGGGACTTGAACTGCGGTCGACTACATGAGAGTCCAGTGACATAGCCATTACGCTAACTGCTGGTCTCAATTTTAAAACATTTTGAGGGGCTGGAGGTGGTGTGGTGGGGAAGGATGCTGGACTCCCACATGGCCGATTGTGGTTCAAGTCCTGGACCTGGTAGCTTGATTTCTCACTCCCCCCGGCCCACTCTGTCCCTCTCTGGTCAAATTAAAATAAAATAAATAAAGTTAAAATAATTCTTAAAAAAAGTTTTTTTTGAAAAACCAAGAATTTGGCAAGATTTGGGGCCCCTTAGAAGCGGCAGTCCAGCTCCCCTGATGTCGGAGGGTGAGGACCTGAGAGCAGCGTGGTTCTCTCCGCAGGGACATCCAGCGGGCGCACAGGGTGGTGGCGGAGCTGCAGGCGGGAACGTGCTTCATCAACAACTACAACGTCAGCCCCGTGGAGCTGCCCTTCGGCGGGTACAAGAAGTCAGGTGAGGGCCGGGGCCGGGGGCGCGGTGGGGCCTGAGCACTGCGCTAGTCCGCGCTCCAGACCAGCGCGCCCACGTGCCTGTGGCCCAGGATCACCTGGGTGTGCGCACACTTGGTCCTCCCTAGACCCTGCCTCCGTCCGTGGAGCAGACGCAGGCACCTGCCCCGCAGCCGCGGAGCTCCTGAACCGCCGTGTGACCTGGCTGTGGACAGCTGCTAGGGCCCAGAGGGCAGCGCTGTTGGGGGAGCATCCCCTCCTCTCCCAGCCTCTCCCAGAGGCTCCCCGAGGCTCCCTGTCAGGGTTCCACCCTCACCCACTGGGTCTGAGGTCATGGGAGGTGGAGTGTGTCTAGTGTAGCTCAGGAGCCGTATCTTACCTCGTTTCTCTGTGAGTGCGAGTCAGTGAAACCTCAACCGCCAGTCGGGGTCACCACCGTTACTCTTGATGGCTCGCAGGGGAGCCCCCCTAGGCCCGACCCTTCCTTCCATTCCCTCAAGAGTTGGGCAGACACGTGTTCCCACAGCGTGGCAGACGGAGCCGTCCAGTGCCAGGAGGAGCTCTGCGGCCCCAGGAGCACAGCCTCACCCTGAGGCTCTTCCCCTGGAGCTCATTGCCTGCAGATACGCAGTCCTTCCCACGGTGTTGTAGAGACGGAAGGTGGCTGGACCCCGAGGGCCCCACTAAGAGACTGGCCCACGTCTCACGGCCGCCCCAGCGCTGGCACAGACAGCAGCCCTGAGGCACTTGGCTGGGGTGGCGGCTCCCCGACGGTCCTTGCTGTCTGATTCAGCAGTCTTACCCACCGGTCGTCTTCGCTCCCATGGGCGCTGAGAGGTGCCGTGTCGGTATGGAAGGCCTCTGTTAGCATCCGCAGCTCGGGCCTTTGGGGGTGCTGCGGGCCAGCTCACCTTGCTTCGGGAGCAGCTGTACCTGCACCCGACCAGCTGTGCTCAGAGCCTGTGGGAAGGAACGGGAGACAGTCGTTTGTTTTTGAAAGTTTTGGCTGTGGGGCATGTCTGCTCGCTGGAAGGAGAGAGACAATGAGAGGGAAAGCGAGAACTCACCCCACAGAGGGATGGCCGCAGCACGGTCCCTTCTCCATTCTCCTCTGGGATTTGGGCACACACGCACCCATACCCGGTGTGCTTTTCCAGCTGCCAAGTCTGGGACTGGAACCGCGGCTAGTCATGTGGGAGCCAGCTGCCTTAACTACTGTGCCACCTGCTGGCCCCGACAGAGCTTGTTCTTGCTGGAACCTTTGTCCATGTCCCCTCCTAAGGGCTTCTTCCCCCCAGAAAGGGGCATTGTGTTGACTCGGGCCTTGCCCTTCGTGGGCAGAACCTTCCTCATTCCAGCAGGGTGATGAGAACGCCAAGCATGGGGCACTGTCCTTACCCCCAGTGTCTTCACCCACTCGTACTTGGGCAGGATCCAGAGTTTGGGTCAGCAGAGGGACTGGAAGTGACCCCTCTCCCACAGGTGGACTTACAGAGTCAGTGCAAGGAAAGGTGTACACACCTACAGAGTGAAGTTCAGGCCAGCACCGACGCCCAGGGTCAGGGTGGATGTCACAGAGACTGCTCTGGCACTCGGCGAGAAGGCCGAACACTCTCCAGACCTCAGCCCAGAGCAGCAGACACCTGAAGTTAAGATTTGTATGGGTGGGCCAGCAGTGGCATGGTAGTTAAAGCACTGGACTCCCACACAGCGGACCGTGGTTCGAGTCCCAGACCTGGCAGCTTCCTTTCTCACTTTCTCTCTCTCTGGTGAATGCATGTGCTCTGTAGCCAATTTAAAAATAATAATAATGATTAATACAATGAAATAATTCTTAAGAAAAGATTCGTATGGGTAAGAAATGAGGCCTGCATGTTTCCTGTCCTCATCCCCGGGGACCAGTGGGCCCGGCCCGTCTCCCTCTCACCCCCGCCTGGCCCCACGGCTGCGATTGGATAAGGGTGTCTCCCTGCTGGGGGCTCCTGTGCTTCCCAGCAGTCTCAGCACTGCCTCCTTGACGGTCGCTGAGCTTCAGACTGCGAGCGCTGGCTCGCCCTGACCCTTCTCGTCCTCTCAGGGTTTGGCAGAGAGAACGGCCGTGTGACAATCGAGTACTATTCACAGCTGAAGACCGTGTGCGTGGAGATGGGCGACGTGGAATCCGTGTTTTGAATGCCAGCAGTGGAGCCCGTGGCCGTGCCAAGGGGTGGAATATCGCCCTCCTCGTGTGCCAGGCCAACCCGGAGCGTGGGCCTCAGCGTGAGAGCGGCTCGGCGGCCCCCTCCCCAGCTCCTCCGCGTCGGAAGTGCTAACCAGAAGGTGGTGATTTTTCTCGAGGTAGATTCCTGGGGATCTTCAGGAGCCAGCAGCACGCACAGAGCACAGGGCCGGGATGGTGATCCTCCTTCCGCTCCCCGCCGGCTGTGCTGACGCTCTAGCTCAGAGCTTCCTCCTGTGGGGCCGGCAGGTGGCGTGGTGGTTAGGGGCGCTGGACTCCCACATGGCCGACCACGGCTCGAGTCCCGGACCTGGCAGCTGCTCTCTCACTTCCTCTCTCTCTCGCTCACTCACTTGCTCTGTTTCTCTCTGGTCAAATTGAAATAAAGTTAAATAAAATAATTCTTAAAAAAAAAAGAAGAAGAAAGAAGCTTCCTCCTTTGTAGCTTCCTGGTAGAATCAGTAGAGATGGTTTGGTTGGTTGGTCTCTTTTTTTCTCTTTTCTCTCTCTCTTTTGTGCCAGAGGGTGTGTGCACGAGAGCCAGCAAGTGAGAAACAGCACCCCCTAGTGGGCCTGGTCACGCCACAGTCTTCATTTTCCATCCTGTCGGGACCTGGGTGTTTGCACGTGTGTTTTTTGGGCTGCCGGGTGCACTTCCAGCCGCGGGCGGCCATGTGGGTCCGGCTCCCTCTGCACAGCGCAGAAGTGCGGCCCCGCTGTCGTCTGTGTGGGAAGCCATGTCCCCTCGTCGTTCATGGGCAAGCTGGCAGCTGGGGAGAGATGCGGTCAGAGAGCAGACGGCAGGCCCGCGGAGGGCAGGGTCTGCAGCCACCTCCGCTCCGCGACCGCAGCGCGCACTTCCCACCACGTGACCTCCCAATGCACAGGTTGTATGCTACCGCAGTGTCGTGAGGTGACAGTGCTCCGCACCCAGCCTTTTCCTTTGTGTTCTGAAGCTGAGCTCTGCCTGTGACAGTGGGACAGGATCGCTGAGGTTGAGAGGAGAGCAGCTTGACCTTTGCAGGGAGTCCTAAAGGGAAGCCTAGTTGCCGTGGTGAACACGGTGGCCCACCCAAGCATCGGCTCGGCGCCGGTCCATACCGACAGGCAGTGCCTGGCCCGGCGAGCCGTCGGATCCTGTGACTTCCGGAGCCACCTGCCCCTTCTCCTCCTTCCAGGAGTGGGTATCAGCACGGCCGATGGGGTGATTGTCATGACCGCGCCCGGGTCTCAGTGTGTGCTGTGCTGGCCACATGCTCGTGTGCTGGCAGAGCCCGACGGCAGCTGGCCAGCCTTCCGTGTGTCCACGCAGAGGACACGACACGCATGTGTGCTACATGCTCACCTCACCTGGTCTTAGGGGACCCTCGTGTGGCTTCCACAGGAACTGCCTGGAGAAGACACTCCTGGGGGCCCCTGACAGAGGGAACGGGGCAGGGGCCGGCCATGGGCCCTGTGCACGGAGCACGCACACTCAGCCGTGAAGGGTGGCCCCTGAGCTGCCTCCAAGGAGACCCCAGTGGGGCAGCCCTGCTCCCAGGCAGGTTGAGGCGCGGGTTCAAGCCGGTCATGGGACTCCCAATTTCCGTGCTTTCTGCTACCCTCCCTTGCTCCCAGAACTTAACCCAGTGGGCCGTTTTCTGTCCCCTGTTGCTACAGTACCACAGACTTAGTGGCTTTAGACAAAACGGTGCAATATCTCACCACTCTGGAGGTCCGAAGTCCACCAGGGACTCACTTTTCCCAAACCCGGGGGTGGGCAGGGCCGGGCTGCCCCCACCCACAGGGTCTCGGAGAGGATTCTTCTCCCTTTTCACTTGTGTTCCTTCTCTGTCTACACCCCTCTGCTTCCGCTGGCTTTCTCCTCTCTGTGGTCAGACCCCTCAGCCTGCCTCTTACCACGGCACTGGGGGTTGAGTTTGGGGCCCACCCAGAAAGCCCATCCTGGCTCCCACCGCAAGACCTTTAATTTAATCATACCTGCGAAGTCCCCCTCTTTCCATATAAAGGAACAGTCGCAGGTTTGGGGAACTAGGACATGGACATATGTGGGGGCTCTTAGCCTACCACACCCAGCGTGGGCCAGTGTGTTGGGGACACCCTTAGCTACGTGTTCTACCAGTTTATCTGAACAAAGACGGGCAGTTTTTTTGTTTGTTTGTTTAATTTTCCAGAGGGCTCTCTGGTATATGTACCAGCGAGAGTGAGAGATACAGAGGGAGAGGGAGAAAGCACCCCCAGTGGGGATGGCCACGTGCCCGTCTCCATTCCCCCATCCCATCAGGAGCTCGGCACACATGCACATGTGCCCAGTGTGGTTTCCCAGTGGCCAGGGCCGGGACTCGCGCAGTTGGCCACGCTCCCTTATCCGCTAGCCACAGAACTGCCTGAGCAAAACTTTCTTTACCTGAAAGAAAGTTTACCTGTTTTGGGGCCAGCCAGTGGCATGGTGGTTAAACCAGCTAGATCCCATATGGCAGACTGCATGGTTCAAGTCCTGGAACCAGTAGCTTGAAAAATAAGTTGGGCGAGTGTGTGTGTGTCCATGTATCCAAAATCCTGAGAGGAGAATGGAGGAGAAGGAATTGTGGTGTGGCCTTCCTCTCTGGGGAGTGATTTCTCACTTTCTCTCTCTCTTTAGCAAGCACATGTGCCCTATAGCTAACTAAAAATAAATAAAAAGATGTTAATCTTAGGAGAGTAATAATTAGTGTCTGTGAAATACAAAGGGAAACAAACTTAACTACGAATCCAGCTCTTTGATTTAGAACAAAGGTTGTTACCTAGCTAAATCTTCCTGGGGTCCTTTTTTTCTCTTGCTATTCTGATTTTTTTTTTTTTTTAAGTTTTTGCCATAGGGCACCTGTTCCCACCAGAGAAAGACAGAGACAGAGGGAAAGTGAGACATCTCCCAGGGGATGGCCACACCACAATCCCTTCTCTTCCAGTCTCCTCCTGGGGTTTTGGGCACATGTACCAGCAGGGTTCTCAGGCTGCGGGTCTGGAACCTGCACCGCAAAGCTGGCTGCGTGGGATCATGCCTTGACTTCTACGCCACCTGCTGGCCCTGGGAGTTTTCTTACTGACTGCTAACTAACCCTGGATCCTACTGAGACCACATAAATGGGTCCAACTTATATCCTTTATGTATATTCCAAGATTCCTTTGATAAGTTCCTTTGGTAAGCAGATTAATGTAGTTTAGGACTGTGTTAATCTAACTGAGCTGTAAGAGAACTGAAGCCATTCCACATCTCCACATTGTAATTTGTCTTGGGAGTCCGTCTTAGCAGATTAGCCTTCAGGAAACTTGGTCTTTGACGTCAGCCTTTCACTTCCCTCACCGTGAACCTTACAGAGCCTAACCTTTCACCTCCCTCACAACGGCTCTAGCCTAATGCTTAACTAAGAAGAGTTAATAATAAACTTGCTGAGTCTACAGATCCTGGGCTATGGGGATAGGAGGGGGAGACATACCAGCCTCCTCCTAAATGACCAGCCGAGGTTTTTATTGGCTTAAACTCTGCAGAGTGACATGTAGACCCTTCCTGCTTTTCCTGCTTCCCCTTAGTTTTTGCTTCCTTTAAAACTTGTGGGACCAGCAGGTGGTGTGGTGGTTGGGGTGCTGGACTCCCACATGGCTGACCGTGGTTTGAGTCCCAGGCCTGGCAGCTTGTTTTCTCACTCTGCTCCATCTCTGACTCTACTCAAATTGAATAATAATAATAAATAAAATCAATGATTCTTAAAAAAAATAAACCCTCATGGTGACCTGTAACTTTGGAGATGCTCTTGGGACACGAGTCTGCCATGTCCCCGGGTTGCTGGCTTCCAAAATAAAGCCAGCTTTGCTTGCACCAACACTTGTCTCCTGGGTCTTGGCTTTCAGGTGACAAGCAACCAAGCTTGGGTTTGGCACTGGGAATGTGTTACATTAATACAAGAGAGGAGAACAATGCCACCTCCAGCTGCTCCCCCCTCGTGCTCGCTTGGAATCCCGCCGACCGGTGTCCACGCGGGAGCAGGCCTGACCCGGGCGGGCCTTTCACTGCAGAAGGTCGCTGCTGGCCGCTTCTCCACCGAGGCCCGTTTCTTGCCCAGACAGCCCCTTGCTGCTCTGGGCAGGAATCGGGGAGAACGAGGGCTGGTGGAGGTGTACCCTCACCCCTCCATCTCCATCAAGACCCAGGAGGAGCACCCCAGCCCCGCCCTCACGGCGTCGGCGTTTCTGCCCAGCTTACTGAGACGCCCCGCTCCGAGTTGAGCTTTCCTCCGAAATACAAATGCATCCTTGTTTTTTCTTACACCCGAAGACCGCTTTCATCCTGTTGAGGTCTGAGGAGGACTAAGTGGGCCGAGGGGGTGAGAGACGCAGACTTGGCAGTTACACGATGCCGCGGGGAATGGCCACGCAGAGCATCGTGAGCGAGCCTGTCGGAGTAAGTCGGGTTACGTGTGCTCTCGCTTTTCACTGGCCAGGGCTTCTCATTGCAGTTAGGATAAAATCTGCATTTTAAGAAATAATTGTGTTATTGAAGTGTATTTATTTTGACCAGAGACAGACCGAGTAAGAGACAGAGAGAGAGAAAGAGAGAGAGGGAAAGTGAGAAACCAAGCCGCCAGGTCCAGGACTAGAACCACAGTCAGCCATGTGAGAATCCAGCTCCCTTAACCACCACACCACCTGCCAGCCTCCCTCCCCCAATTTTTAAATTTGCCATAGGACTAGGGCACTTACCAGGGAGAGAGGGAAAAAGAGAAAGCACCCACCCCCTCAAAGGGATGACCATGGTGCAACCCCCTTCTTCATTTCTGTCTCCTTTCAGGATTTTGGTCACACACACGTACCTGGCATGTTTTTCACGTTGTCGTGTCTAGGACTTGAACTATGCATTCAGCCATGTAGAATCCTGCCTCCTGAACCACCATGCTACTTGGCCCAGTCCTAAGATCTCCATTCTGTTTGTTTCTTTGTTTCCATCTATTATTTTTGGGGGGAGAAGTTTTTGCTATAGGGTGCATACGCTCGCCAGAAAGACAGAGACAGAAAGTGAGAAATCATCTCCCAGGGGGATGGCCACACTGCAATCCCTTCTCCTCCATTCTCCTCTTGGGATGTTGGGCACACATGCACACGCACCCAGCGTGAGTTTAAGCTACTGGGTCCGGGACTTGAACTGTGGTTGACTACATGAGAGTCCAGCAACATAGCTAATATGCCAACTGCTGGCCCCTTGTCTTTTATTTATTTTTTTTAAGAATTATTTTATTGAATTTTTTTTTTTTTGAGAGGTTTTTGCCATAGGGCGCGTGCGCTCGCCAGACAGACAGAG